CGTGACCCCCCCCCCCCCCGGCACCCACCTGTGCGTTGATCATCTTGGCGCGGATTCCTTCGTCAGAGTGGGTCTGCGGGGTGATGGCCATGGGCGAGAGGGGCACGGCCACCTTCCACGCGACCTGCACCTCCGTGTTGGTGCCGCCCAGGACCTTGTCGAAGGTCCTGCTCTCGCCCTCCCAGCCCGTCTCCTTGATCGTCAGCAACGCCGTCCCCTGCAGGTGTGTACACCGCATCCACACACACAAACAGACAGGTGTGCAGGTGTGTGTGTGTGGGCGTGTTGGGGGCGGGGCGGGGTGTGGTGTGCGTACGGTGAAGAGGGCTCCCTTGAGCTTGAGTTCTTGGAGTTCCTTCTTGATGCCGTCAGCTCCTGCCGTGTTGATGATCTTCGACTGGACGCGGAAGTCACCTGCACGACCGCCACACACAGATGGACACGCCACACAGCGGACACACACCTCCCCACACCGCCACCACACCCACACGCACCTGACAGAGGTGGGTTGAACCTGCACACACAGAGAGAGAAAGTGGCCATTCAACCACTCAATCAGTCGGTCAGTGCATGTCCAGTGCTCTCACTTGATTGAGTAGATGTGCAGGTGGGGTTCCTGGCCCTTCTCCTTGGCGCCAACCGTGACTGCAACCGACACCAGCACACATGCACACACAGACACACAAGGGTGACACACCACGCGTCGAAACCGCCACACCACACATTCCCACCCTCCCGCCCGTCACGCCCACATCTGTCTCAGCCCGTCTCACGACTTGTCCCACCGCCACACGCCCGCACCACCACCCACACCCGCACACAGTGCGTGTTGTGTCGCATGCATCCCAGCGCACCTTCAATGAGGTTGGTCAGCGCCCTGATGGCCTTGGCGTTCCGGTTCTGCCCGTCGTAGTGCCCTCCATCTCCTCCGAACCGGTCACGCCGCACCACGTTGCTGTCGAGCAGCTCTCTGACAGACATCTTGGCGAGAGTTGAGGACGGCGTGCGAGGCGGGAGGGGTGCGCAGATCCGGCGGTCAGCGGAGCCCTGGGTGGCGTCTTACGCGGCCTCCTCGACTGGCTGGTGACTTGGAGGTGCTGAGAGGTGAGCAGGATAGGGTGGGCGCTGAGGCGAAAGGCACGCAACCGAGAGCTCGCGTGCCGACAGAGATGGCAGAGATCTCGGAAAGCGCGAAAAGGACCGAACCGAAGGGAAAATGGCTACTAGGAATGATTTGACGGGTTACCCTAGCCTGAAACCCTTGCCTTCCCCTCCTGAGAAAGCCTGTCAGTCAGTCACTCAGTTCCCTCCCCCTACGCAAGCACGCACACGCATGGATAATGTTCATTATCCAATGGACCAATACATGACACACGCAGAGAATCAGTGCAACGCGCCAGAATCAGATGCGGGCTGTCTGTGGGCAGACTTCACACAATGGACAGCTTGAGGACAATGATGAAAAGGAGAGGGTGGCGAACCAGGAGCGCTTCAGAAAAGAAAAAAAACATGCGAGCTTGTGGCGAGAATCGCGGCGAGAATTAAGCGGACATTTTCCACGCCAGCTCTCCTCATTTCCCACTGTTCGCCTCACATCTCCTTCGTTTCCTTTCATATTTCGGCGGGAGAGGTCGGGCGCCACCCGCCCGAGGCCCACACAGCCCCCCCTGCTCGCCGTTTGCGAAGAGGACGAGTCCACCTGACCGCCCCTGACCGCCCGCCCGTCAGGCGCTGACATCGATCAGCCTGAGCCTCCCTCCTCCCTTGGTGAGTGGTCGTTGGCTTGTGTGGTCCGCCCATCCCCTCCCGCTCCGACTTGTCCGAATGTCGTTTGCCTGCCACTTTCGTCCTCTACCGCCGTGCCGCGAGTGCCTCAGCCGGTTGCTGGCGCCCTTTCTTCTGCTGAATGGGTGGAGACTACCTGACACCTGTCTGGCGTCAGCCGAGTGCGCGCACGCCTTCTTTTGCCTTCAAAACATCCCCTCAAGTAAGTACATTGGCTAAGGTAATGGTATTATGTTTGGATGATGTTCAAGGATGACAAGGATGACTGCGTAGTCTGTTTCATTGCTGTGGTGATCTCACTGTGCCCTGCTGGCATGCTTGTGTGCAGATGATGGAAGTTTGATTCTTTCTCCTGATGGCCGTGCTTTTGACAGAATGCACTGTCTCTCTCGAGGTAAGTCAGTCAGTCCCCCCCACACGCATCGACAGAGGTGTGCTCACTCACTCACGGCGTTTTGGTTCCTTCCTGCGCGTGTCTGTTTATAATGTGTTCAGGGCGCGAGTCATTCGATCGCTGGATGGATGGATGACCGTTGGCTCTCACACCTACCTTACCAATCTCGACGGCAGGACCGAACAAGTGCCCGGACCTACGCGCGGCTCACTTCTACTTACATCAAGTAAGCAGGAAGCCACCCACCCATGCGCAGAGGATGGATGCATAATACACCCACACACACTGACAGGTTTCTGCTTCAGAGTTGGAGGTGTGGCTGAAGAGAGAGAAGGCCTCATCAACACCCGGAGCACCACTGACTGGTGCCGATCGTCTGTCGGTAATCAAGGGCAGATGACGGTTTTAGGCAGTGTATCACATTCGTGTAAGCTAACAAGAGACGGAGAGACCAAACACAAGCGAATGTTGACAAATTGAATGTCGAGGTGTGTTTGTGTGTGTGTGTGTGTGTGGTTCAGGGCCACCTGCTCATCACTGCTGAAGGGATGGATGGTTGGATGGATGGTTGCATGATCGCTGCCTACATCTTATATCCGGACGGGTGTGCACGGCGGGTTACAATGTCGGTGCCCTCCTCTCTCTGCCCGCCGACATTGTACCCCGCCTTTTTTTTTAGCACACTCGTTGGTTTCTGAACACAAGGCCTTGTCTCCCTCTTTCTCCTTGTCTCTCTCTTTGCTGTCTGTGAGAGGATTCAGACTCACTAATTAAGCAGTAGGTCCGGTCCATCCAATAACCATGGATGAGCATGAGCATGAGCATGAGCATGAGCCGGTCTGCTCCGCTTCCTGTACAGATCAGATAGCGTATTAAGCGCATGCATGCCGCCGTCAGATCAGATCACTGCATGGATAGAATGATGCAGGCAGGCAGGCAGGCAGGCATCTACAGGCCACCCAACCCATCCCACCCGAGAGCTATGGCTATGGTATACTCGAGTGTGTGTGTGTGTGTGGCATGCAGTGGCATGGTATGGAGTGTGTGGATGGGTGGATCGATGAGGGAGTCTGCCGGCAGGTGGCTGTCCGGCCGGCTGGCTAACCGGCTGACTCGATGGCTGTCCGATAATATGGCTACACTCCTCTCTCTCCCCCTCTCTCCCGCGTCTTTCGACAGTGCCACGCAATACGATCTGATACGATAGCGGCTGATCCATCCTTTCACCATCCCTCCACCCTCAAAGTCCTGTGGAGCCGTCAGATCACAGAACAGACCACACACACACAGAGAGAGGGAGAGGGAGGGAGGGAGGGAGGCACACCTGCACTGTGTGTGTGGACTGTGTGTGGTGTGTGTGTGTACCAGGCCCTTGGCCTTAGCCTTGCCCTTGGCGGCAGCAGCAGCAGCAGCCGCGCAGTCCTGCCACACACATTCAGACGCCAGTGGCGCGTGCATCAGTTCTTTGTCAGCGGGCACTTACCGTCCTCATCATCGTCGTCGTCATTGGCTGGGCGCTTGGCCGCCTGCTTGGTTTTGGGCTTGGCCTTGGCCTTGGCCGCCTTCACTCATTCAACACACACACACACAGAGAGGGGGGGGGGGGGATGTC